CAGGGGAATGGAAGGAAGCCCGTACCCCACTCCCCTCTCCTATGGAGGAGTAACACTGAGGCTACCGTGAGATGTAGCTGGGCGGCAGATGGCAGGTAAGGGGCAGACTCTGCAAGGCCTAGTGGGCAGCATGGAGTTTGGACTTTATTCTAGGAATCCTGGGAAGATACCAAAGGGTTTTAAGCAAGGTCAGCATGCCTCCACTCCCCTTTGATGGCCATATGTGTCCATCTGATGCCCTCTTCCCTGCCTGCTTGGCAGGGTCTTCTCTGGGGAAAAAGGTGGCAGGTGCCCTGCAGACCATTGAGACCGCCCTGGCTCAGTACAGCCTCACCCAGCTCTGTGTGGGCTTCAACGGGGGCAAAGACTGTACCGCCCTTCTGCACCTCTTCCATGCAGCTGTGCAGAGGTGAGCCTGCTCCCTGGGAGACAAGACCCCGATCTGTCTCTTTCCCCAGTTCCACATCCCAGAAAGCAAGGATAAAGGGGGTGGATGGGTGGGGTTCAAGAGGGAGATAGCCATGGTGACCTCTCAGTTACATTCTCCCACCATATTGAGCATATGATATGTGCCTGGCCTTGTGTATGGATGTGCAGGCCACCATCCCTGACCACAGGGAGGTCACAGTCCTGCTGGGGAGATGAGAGATTTACACACCTGAAACAAGGATGCATGCTTAGATTTAAGAGGTAAGAGGTCAAGAACCAGGTACGGTGACTCATGCCTATAATCTGCCGGGCGCGGTGGCGCGTGCCTGTAGTCCCAGCTACTTGGGAGGCTGAGGTGGGAGGATCACTTGAGTCCAGGAGTTCTGGGCTGTAGTGTACTATGCCGATCGGGTGTCCGCACTGAGTTCGGCATCAATATGGTGACCTCCCGGGAGAGGGGGACCACCGGGTTGCCTAAGGAGGGGTGAACCGGCCCAGGTCAGAAACAGAGCATGTCAAAACTCCCATGCTGATCAGTAGTGGGATTGCACCTGTGAATAGCCACTGCACTCCAGCCTGGGCAACATAGTGAGACCCTGTCTCTAAAAAAAGAGGTGAGATGTCAGAGTAGGCTTCCCAGAGGAAATCGATCTAATAGATGGAAAGGACAAGGAAAAGGGAGAAGTGGGGTGAGTCTGTTCTTGGGGCCAAAGAGAACAGTGAACTGTTTCGGGAGAGCCATTTCCGTGTCCATGCTGGCAAGCCTGTGGATTCTTCCCCCTCCGCAGGAAATTACCTGATGTTCCAGACCGCCTCCAGATCCTGTATATCCGCAGCACCTCCACTTTCCCTGAGCTGGAACAATTTCTACAGGACACCATCAAGAGGTACTAGGGGCCTGGAGGTTTGGGCTCCAAGAGAGGCTTAACAGAGCCCACTGCTGACCCCTACTTCTGTTTCTTCCTAAGGTATAATCTGCAGGTGTTGGAGGCTGAGGGCAGCATGAAGCTTGCCCTGGGTGAACTGCAGGCACGGTATCCCCAGCTAGAGGCTGTCCTGATGGGCACCCGCCGGACTGACCCCTACTCCTGTAGCCTCTGCCCTTTCAGCCCCACCGACCCAGGCTGGCCTTCGTTTATGCGCATCAACCCACTGCTGGTAATGGGGAAGGGGGTGTATTGCCTTCAGTTTCTCGCCCCATCAGTCACTGCACCCTGGCTTCCCCCGAGTAGTGGGGAGGCTAGAGCCTGGAACTTGGATGAAGGGGCCCCATCATCCAAGGGAGGCGATGCTGTCTGTTCATTCATCCTTTTGACCAATATTTATTGAGCCCAAATTCAGTAGCAGGCATTGTGCTTTCTATGTGGACGGAAGAGTGACTTAGACCTGTGCTGTCCAATGTAGCCACTAATAATTTATTTATACTTAAATTTTAATTAGTTGAAATGAAATACATATGACTAAAAACCACTGAATTACATACTTTAAAAGGATGCATTTGATGGCATGTGAATACCTCAATTTTTAGAATTAAGTACAATTAAAAATTCAGTTCTGGCTGGGCCTGGTGGCTCACACCTATAATCCCAACACTGTGGGAGGCCAAGGTGGGCTAATCACTTGAGCCAAGGAGGTCAAGACCAGCCTGGCCAACATGGCAAAACCCCGTCTCTGCTAAAAATGCAAAATACTAGCCAGGCATGGTGGCACCTGCCTGTAGTCCCAGCTCCTCGGGAGGCTGAGGCAGGAGAATTGCTTGAACCCAGGAGACAGAGGTTGCAGTGAGCCGATCTGCAGAGTGCAGATCGCACCACTGCACTCCAGCGTCAGTGACAGAGCAACACTCTGTCTCAAAATAATAATAATACAAGCCAGGCGTGGTGGCTCACTCCTGTAATCCCTGCACTTTGGGAGGCTGAGGCAGGCAGATCGCCTGAGGTCAGGACATCGAGACCAGCCTGACCAACATGGTGAAATCCCACGTCTACTAAAAATACTAAAATTGGCCGGGCGCAGTGGCTCAAGCCTGTAATCCCAGCACTTTGGGGGGCCGAGGCGAGTGGATCACGAGGTCAAGAGATCGAGACCATCCTGGTCAACATGGTGAAACCCCGTCTCTACTAAAAA